CGGTCCGTCGGGCGCGGTCCTCCCCCGCCGCGCAGTCTGTCGGGGTCCGGCCCCCACCGCAGCTGCCATCGCGCGCGCGGGCTGCCGCACAGTGGTCAATTCTCAAGTTCTTGATTTTTTTTCTGACAAAAATACTTGCGGGAGGTCAAATCTCAATCAAACGGGACAAATTTTTTTTTTAAATACTCGTTATAGATTGCACATTGATGGGTCACTACCGAAATTTCGAAATCGGACGGCATACGTTCATTAATTACGTTGCGGCACAGCGCGCAGTAGGGATCGAGGGAAAAATCGTAATCAAATTAATATTTCGGTTGAACCAAAAGGTCGAATGTCATAATTTTTTTTTAAATTAAAGCTGATAAAATTCTTAACTGATTCCTCCAGGCCGATTTGGAAAAAAAATGTTTACGTCTGATATAAACACATAATATAAACAATTCTATAAAAAAACTCGCGATTTTCACAATTTGATTTCTATTTTGTTTATTTTTTATTTTTTCTATGCGACAACACTATTCAAGGGTTTCTGGGGTTGCTGATTACGAATCTGATAACGTATTTTGAAAATTCAAAATGGCGGATGCAATATGGCGGAAGTTTTTTGAAAAATTTAACCATTTCGTTTTAAACTTGTTGCCATCAAACAGAGGCTCGGCAGGCGATTATTATCTTCAACAATGATTTCCTCAACAATGGCTCGACCGATTTGAATAAAACAATAGCGAGCTTAAAGGGGATAAAATTTGAAAAAAATATGAGTTCCGATTTTTTAATTTTTGAGTCATTTAATTATTGTTTAATGCTAAATAATGAAATATTTCATGAAACCGTTAATTTATTGAAGCAGACTTTTTTCACACAAAAATCAGCGGAAGTTAAATATTCGGGGGTTTTTGGGGTCACAGATTACGAATCTGATCTTAGATTTTCAAAACTTAAAATGGCGGATCCAATGTGTAGGATGATTTAAAAATCGTTTTTTTTTTTGTTTACGACATTGAAGAAATTGTTTTTCAGAGAGAGAGAGAGAGAGAGAGAGAGGTATTATTTCCTAAAAACATTTAAAAGAAACATTTGAAACGTTGTATGAAATAATTTTGAACTATGCAAATGGTGATAATAAAGAACGGAAAAATGGATTATATTATATCTACGGAACCGTTATTATCCGAAAGAGAAATTGACGACTTCGAAAGCTATTCGAGAGAAAATATTTTTGGCCAGATTCCAATAAAAAACGGGCCAGAGATAAAGAAAATGTTGCACGTATTCTTAGGTAAACATGCAGACTTTTTGCGGAAATAATTTCAGACTCCGTTTCAGTATAATGTCGGGAAGAATCGCACACGTTCCAAAAAT